TGCGTCGAGTGGTTCCCGCAAACAACTCGTGTCTCTTCACGTCTGTGTACTTCGCTCTGTCGGGCGGAGAGTTCAACGACACGATCGGATCGGCCTTAAGACAGATAATCGCGGACACTGTGGCCGCAGACACCTTCACGTACAACGAAGCCTTCTTAGGGAAGCCGAACCGCGAGTACTGCACATGGATTCTCAATGAAGAGCACTGGGGAGGAGCCATCGAACTGTCCATTCTCTCCAAATACTATGCCATCGAAATCGTTGCCGTCGACACCATAAACGTCAGACTCAACCGTTTCGGCGAAGACATGGCTCACTCGCAGAGGATTTTTCTCATATACGACGGCATCCATTACGACCCGTTGATGTGGGAACCGTTGGACAACAAGAATCCCATTCAGACGGTGTTTCCGGTGGCCAACGAGTCGGTGCTGTCGATGGCGTTAGAGATCGCCAATGAGGCCAAAGCGAGCCGTCAGTTCACGGATGTCCAGAACTTTTCGCTCCGGTGTCTGGTGTGCAACGCGGGGCTGACGGGCAACAGTCAGGCCCAGTCACACGCCCTCGAAACCGGACACTTAAACTTCGGCGAAATCTGAGTTCATTTCATAAACCAATATATTTTTCTCGATTTTAACATTTATATGAAAATCAGCGATAATACAAAAACTTATATCTCTTTTAATTATTATTATTTAATAATTGAAGTCAATTATACACTTTATTTCAATTTCCAATCATTTATAGCAAAACTTATTGCATTTGTAGCACTAATAGTGATCTTAAACTGAGCGGTTGTTTTTAGTTCAATTTGATGTTTTGCTCAAATTATGTGATTTTAATTTTGTTTGTTTCAATATACTGTATATTGTTTTATATAATTTGCATTCTATCACTCATATTATCATAGAAATAATATAACATTTTTAAGTACAAAATATCTGTTAATCCATATTATAATTAATATATACTAATAGAGCACTCGTTACACCGGTTATCAATTTTGGAAATAAAATAAATAATTTAAAAATGCTTTAAAAATTAATTTACATTTCATTAATCAGTTCTTATGTCTAACAATCTGTGGGTCTTTGATGGCGAACTTCGGATCACAGGTGAAGGACACAGTTATAGCAAATCTGGTCCCAGAGGTGACCCTCTCGACGAAGTGCTCGTTCTCTGAGCCGGACGTGAACGCCGAGAGTCGTCCCAATTTAGGCTCAATTATGATTGTGTTGTTTGATGTCTCGTCTGTGAAGAGGAAGCGTCCGCCAGAGAAGTCTTCCCCATATGTCGACAAATAGAGCAAAGAAGTGAAATGAAAGGACTTATAGGTGTGTTTGTCGACATGTTTGTGCCAATACTCGTCGTGTTTGGTTTGGGCGCTCTTTGCCGTCAGTCTCGAGAAGAACGTCGGATCAGTTAAGTAGAGCTGAGCCGAAGAGATGCCGAAATGAATTGCAATCGTTTCGCGGATTTTGTTTTTCACAGTTCTGTAGACTTCAAAGTCTTTTTCACTGAACACCTCTTCCTTCTGTGGTTTACTTTCTATGAGTTTATAGATATTCACGAAATTAGTTGCCATCGAAAGAGCGCCGGTATGTAAGTCGAGGATAGAGGCGCCGCCCGAAGAGCCGCCCAATGATAGGCCTCTCTTCGCCACTGACAACAAGTGTTTGGCTTCCGATTCAGTGATCACCGAATCGGACACAAAACGTCCGCATCTTTGAGGGGCACAAGACGTGAACCGAACTCTGTCTTCGTTATAGTCTTGAGAACACATCATTTGCTGTCCAATAGGCGAACCCGTTATGGATTGAGTGGCCGAAGCCATCACTAACTCTTTGGTGTCATTGGATTGAGTGGTCGTGTAGTAAACCACCACAAGAATAGCCATCGAGAGTACCATTCGACTCATCACTCGCTTCATAATACTCTGGTTTTGTGTCCTTTCGGGCGACACTTCTGGAGACACCACTCGAGACACGTTATCCTCGTTTGTGTCTCTATTTCTGTTGACAACTCTTTTACGTCGATTGAGTCCATCCGAAGACATTGTGACCAATGAATTGATAATCCAATCAAATATTTAATGAAATTATTTTCAAAACAAACGATAAAAACATGTTTTGCAGCGAAATGTCATTTACTGCACAATACAGTAGTTTCAGTGATAATATAGTAACCCATAACACATTTGTAGTGATAATTAGTTGATTGCAAACAAATTGAGTGCAAAACAGTTATTAAATTATTATTATTTTATAAACTATTAAACAAAACAATTGAACCAAAAGTTTGCAAAACAAACCATTGTTGGAAACAGTGTTTGAGTGGAGATGTGGTGCAGTCATCACACACTCATTGCTGAACATTTCATACACTCATATGTTTTCCATTCAAACCTATTCTCTATTCAATGAAATCAACTTTTCTGATCTCATTTCTATTCAATGCATACGAATAACTGGTTTTTATGGAAAAACATTATAAATACAGTGAAAGTTAACTTAAAACTTGAAAAGTGAGTACAAGTCATACCTTTCAATGAAATCAACTTTTCTGAACTCATTTCTATTCAATGCATACGAATAACTGGTTTTTATGGAAAAACATTATAAATACAGTGAAAGTTAACTTAAAACTTGAAAAGTGAGTACAAGTCATACCTAAGGCACAGGTAGTACCAGAATCTACTGCTGGTTTACAAATGTTTTTCATATTGAGATGAATAGCATTGGACTTCACTTTGAAAGTTAGTCTCGTATTTGAAGAGAAGTTAATTTGATTGCGTGTTGTCTTCAGCGACGCACAAGTTTTCACATTGCTGGTTTACAAATGTTTTTCATATTGAGATGAATAGCATTGGACTTCACTTTGAAAGTTAGTCTCGTATTTGAAGAGAAGTTAATTTGATTGCGTGTTGTCTTCAGCGACGCACAAGTTTTCCCATTTTTTCCCATTTGTCTCACATCTCATCACCAGATCGTTGTATATATACTCTGCAATCGAGTCAACAATTCTTGATTTAAGCAAATTCTTAACCAAAACTCATTTTAGTCGATAAAGTTTTCGCAACATATGTTTTAGTGTAATATCGCATAACTGTATTAACGGTCTTATAATTAGTGACCATTGAATTGAAGTGAGTCTTACACTCGTGTCATACAATGCAAGGCATGCAGAAGAGAAGATTACAAACCAAAGCATGTATTGCCGGCGCAAAGACTTTCTTAATGTTATTCAATATTGTTTTTTGGGTAAGTCTTTACAATATGTTTAGCAATTTAGACAATATTATACTGTATAAACCATTTCATTTTAATTGCGAGAAATTTAAATATTTGTATTAAAATGTATATCAAATGAATCGCTTTTTTTTGGAGTTTATAGACTTTTATGGTCATAGTTTGGGTCATGCTTTGAGATTAATAACCCTAAACTGTAAGCATTGGATTGAATGCATGAATACAACTTTACACTTTGTGCTCTACAGTACAAACAGTACAATGATTTATTGTTTTAAAATGTGGCTTTTATTAACCTTCCAATATACATTACTGTATCTGTGTAATAATCTGCATATTATAGTTCTTAACATTTAGTTGAATTAGTTATTTTTCTTTCATGTTCATCTTTTACTGTATGCCTGTACATACTGCATACAGTACTGAATATACTTTAGCTGTTTTTATAGATACTTAATATTTTATCCCGGTAATTTTAAAGTTAAAACTTAACAGAATATTAGCTCACTATAATTAGACAATTACTTAATTTTACGGATTTTATGGATTAATATTTAGATTATTTCAATTGTTTCTTAAACATTTTTGAAAACAATATTTGTATTGAACAGTTCGTTGGCATAATACTGTTAATATCAGGAATATGGATGAGGGCATCGATAGCCCGGGTGTTTGAAGTCTCTCAATTCCACTTCGCATTGCCCTCGCTATTCATTTGCACGGGTATTGCAATGGTTATGATCGGAGTGTTTGCCTGTTGTTGTACTACCAATGAAAAGCCTACACTGCTCTTCACGGTAACCAAAAACCTTTTTGACAGTAATTATCACATGAAATAATGGTTGGACACAAAACTCTTAGTTATCGATATTCTTCTTCATCGTGTTTGTTATGGTATTCTCGGCTTCAATAACGGGTTACGTATACAGAGATAATCTCAAAGAAAGTCTTCACAACTCTCTTAACCAAACTTTACTTGAATACGGAACTGGAGGTATACTCGACATGGATTGGGATCGCGTTCAGCAAAATGTAAGTTTGAAAAGCCGAATGAATTACAGAAATGGTTGACAACAAGAACTTGGTTTATATTTCAGTTGGAGTGCTGTGGAGTGGACAGCTTTAAAGACTGGATATACACGGAGTGGGCCAATGAGAACCGTACGTTTCCCAACAGTTGCTGCCGAGACGGCAAAGTGTGCGACAATGTAGACAACGACCAAATTTATCTCAACGGATGCTACCAAGAAATCCTCAATCTCTTACAGTACTTTGAATTTATTATTTATTAGATATTCTAATGAACTTGATGATATAATTTAAAATTTTTCAAACAGTAATAACTTGAATGGAATCGCAATTGGAATGCTTTTGGTTGCCTTCTTTCAGGTAATTCTTGTGGTAATCACTTGATTCATATGTTATAAAAGTTTTCTTTCAATTAATGAATAGATAATTGGAATGAGTCTCTCCTGCTGTTTGGCCCTCAATATAAACAAAGCACTCTATGAGGAGATGTTGGAGTGATTGTCATATCAACTCATATTTTACTCATTGTTTTATCAGTTATAATATTAACTCATTTTTAGAACCATTTTATACAAAATGCTTAAAAGTTGCACAAAATAAAGTTTAGTAA